TTACGCCTTTTACCATTTGTCAGTCCTAGTGTAGAATGTTAATTGCTAAGCTGCCACATAAAAGGTTCTTCCCCCTGGCTGTCAGTCAGACGAAGTCTTCAAATACCATACTTATATGCACCAATCACACGTCTTCCTGTTAACCATATCCAACAACAAAAAATGTGTTTAGGAAAAAATTTTTGCATGGAAGTTACTGGTATAATTTGGCTGTATAATCATTATAATTTACCGGCCTGGTATCACAGATTACCAGTCCGAGCCTGGTGTGCAGGAACATCTGTGCAGAGTATGGACTGGAAACCCCCCAGCCCAGTTAAAGTGGTAAACACCTCCAAAGGTGGTAGAGAATGACCGAGCCAAGATCCTGCGGGACTTCCATATACAGATGGACAGAATGGTGGACAAGGAGTGGAGAAAAGCCATTGTGGTAGATATAGCAATAACAACTGAATGCAACATCCGGAAAAAGGAACATAAGAAACTAGAGAAATACCAGGGGCTCAGAGAAGAGCTGGAAAAGACCTTGAAGATCAAGGTATCAGTGGTACCCGTGGTCATTAGGGCCCTCTGGGGAGTGACCCCTCAAACTAGAGGAGTGGTTACAGCAGATCCCAGGAACTACATGAGACATCTCGGTCCAAAAGTGCAGTTCTAGGAACAGCAAGAAAACTGCAGAACCCTCAAGCTCCCAGGCCTCTGGTAGGAACCGAGCTTGGAGAGAAAAAAAGGGAGACCGCCCATGGTGGGTGAGGAAGAGTTTTATTAATTTAAATATATATATATATAGCTATATATAATTCATTAATTACTATTAATTATGATATAATAATAATATTATTAATGTTATTGTATATGTATATCCTCTGTAATATTTTAATTGATCTGAAACTTAAATGTGGGTTTCCATAAGCAAAAAAAAAAAAAAGAAGTTTCTGAAATATCTTACACTGTGTTTAATCAAGCAAATAAATAATGAAATCTCGTTTTTGTTTTTTTTCTTGATCGAGTTACTGAACTTAATTCACTTTTGGATGGTTCTTTATTTCATTGAGACAGACCCGTTACCCACATTTTTGAAAGGTTATTGGCAACTAAAATCTTTATGAAAAACTTACTGTCCAGCGCTTCATATGGCAAATTTAGCTTGAGGAGCGCTTCCTGCACTACATCGGCACAGCCCGGTGTTCACATACCCGCCCCTCTGCCCCTCCCACCCTTAAAATACCTAACCTGACATCAGCCAGCCGGAGCGAGACATGCATCTGGCTGTTGTCAGGTTATAAAATACCACGCATGCCAAGTAATTTTTGCTTCTTTCGGAGTATACGACACAGAAGGTAAGCTAAACAGACTTCTTTGTAAATATATTTAAAGTATCTGTGTTTAAGCAACATGCTGTATGGTAGCAAATGTGTCTAATATCTAATTAAAAATTCCTTCCGATGTCACTGGTGGTGCAGCAGTGATTTGAAACGAATGAAATGACGTTAGCCAGAGAGGATGCCACTTTAGTTAACATTAGCAGCAGGGTTTCAGTGAATGTACGACCCAGTTAGCAAGCTACCTTGGTTGCTTGTATGAAAATAAGTTGCTAAAACCTGAGACTATAACTTAAGGTTCGCCTGGCTATCTTGCCACGTCGCACTTGAGTTTATTTAGCTCTGCAGTGTTTATTTTTCCCACTGAGAAAAGACAAACTGCTAAATGCTTTAATGGTTAACACTTTTAGTCATTGTTTACCCTAGCAATAAATACATTAAAACTGAGTAGTTAGCATCTTGGTGAGCTATACCTAGCTTGTGTACTGAGGTTGCCATGATAATGAGGAGAGGGTTGAATGGAATTAAATAAGTTGGATAGATGCAGCTTAAAAGGGTTGTAAAGAACAGCCCATTAAAAAAGTTGGAGAGGTTTGCTAATGATGCATAAGTTTTATTTTAGTTGGTTTTTAGATTTAGATCCTTTGCGGGATAATATTATTTTAGAAAGGTTTTGTTGTTTTATTTATTTATTGTTTGCCTGGGATGAAAACATTACATTTTAGATCAACATCTCATGGATTACTGGAAGTAAAACAATAAAAGACATTTCTTCTTTTGCTCTAGAAATTGAAAATCTCTACCTCCAACACTCCTACTGGCCCACTTTCTCACTGTATTAAAGACCCAGGTTTTCTGAGGGTTCTCCTTTTCTAATATTTCTTCCTGTAGTGTTTATTGGTCTTGCTCTAGTATAGCCTTCTATATTCCTGAGATGCATAAGTTACCCGATAAAAATTAATGTCTGCAGATTGTTTTAAAAAATGTATTGTAAGGAGGGCTGGCCCTCGCACGCTGAAATTTGCATAGATCATGTAAAATAGACA